GCAATACAAAAATAATAATAGTTATAAAAATGAAATAAAGTTATGATGTGGAATAGTGCAGTATGAGTCTATATACAAGTTATTGGAATGATATATATATATTAGGTATTAGATACATACTACTGAGTAGCAGATGAATGTTTGAAGTTGTTTCAACAGTTCAATTTTTTAACAGTCTCACTGCCCGCGGGAAGAAACTGTCTCCGAATCTTCTTGTCCTTGCCAGGATGCTGCAGTAACGTCTGCCAGACGGCAACAGAAAGAACAGTTTGTGGCTGGGGTGATGGGGGTCTTTGATAATCCGTAGTGATTTCTTCCTGAGCCGCTGGGAGTAAAGGTCCTCCATGGATGGCAGCTCCGTCCTGGTGATGTGCTGTGCAGTTTTCACCACCCTCTGTAAAGCCTTACGATCGAGGTCGGTGCAGCTGCCGTACCAGGCCGTCATGCTGCCAGTGAGGATACTCTCTATCGTGCACCTGTAGAAGTTGCAGAGTATCCTGGAATCCATTTTGAACCTCCTCAACCTGCGGAGGAAGAAGAGCCGCTGTCGAGCTTTCTTGGTGATGGTGGTGGTGTGAAGAGACCATGTCAGGTCCTCAGTGATGTGGACCCCAAGGAACCTGAAGCTTTTGACTCTCTCCACCGTAGTCCCATTGATGGCGATGGGGGCGTGTCCCTCTCCCTGCTGCTTCCTGTAGTCCACAATCAGCTCCTTTGTTTTGCTGATGTTGAGATGGAGGTTGTTCTCCTGGCACCAAGATGTCAGAGAGAGAGAGAGAGAGAGAGAGAGAGAGAGAGAGAGAGAGAGAGAGAGAGAGAGAGAGAGACGAGATAGAGAGGAGAGAGTAGGAGAGAGAGATGGAGAAGAGAGAGGAGAGAGAGGAGGAGAGATAGAGAGAGAGAGTAGAGAGGAGAGAGAGGCGCTACGAGCTAGAAGAGAGCATAGAGAGAGAGAGAGAGAGAGGTTTACACAATTTATGTAAACACATATTTCCAAGGCACTCCTTTATAATTATTAGGATAAATAAAAACAGGTTTGAAATCATTCCAATGTATACTATAGGACAGTAAAACAAAAATATCGTTTAAAACTGGAGAGATTAAAAAATATGCTATAAGATATAAATGAACAACAAAAATAAAATAAGTTACATTTATTTTTTATTGGCTATGGTAGGTTATTGGTTATGTTCACATACTTATTTGATTAATAAAATGCAAACCGATCTTTTTCATATGGGTGTTTAGCAGAGGTGTGGACTCGAGTCACATGACTTGGACTCGAGTCAGACTCGAGTTACCAATTTGATGACTTTGGACTCGACTTGACAAAATCACAAAACACTTGCGACTTGACTTGGACTTGAGCCTTCTGACTTGAGGTGACTTGATAATTTAATTCAGGGGTCTCCAACACGCCGATCGCGAGATGCCGCTTGAAGAGCAGACTCCCGTCGGGGAGAGCAGAATCTTCAGCCGCTGCAACTCTTGCTGAGAATCCTTGCAGGCAGGGGCGGGACTTTATTTAGCTGGGCCACCATGCGGCCAATCATATGTGAGGACACACTAGGATCATACCATTATGTGAAAGAAGGGTGGGGGGCAGACGCTCCAAAGACAGCAGGTGTAGTGGTACAGGCCAGCTACACAGAGCGACGGGGAGACGGATTTAAATGCAAGCGCGTCGGAAGAAGTCAAGAAATTTGCGAAAACCGAAAAAAGAAGCAGCATCTGGCTGCATTTCAATGATATTGGAGAAAGCAAAGCTGAGTGCAGGATTTGTAAAACGAAAATAACCTTCAGAGCAGGGTTTTTTTTTTGGTAACCACTCAGGATTTATTGCCAGAGGTGGGAGAAGTTCAGATCTTGTACTTGAGTAACAGTACCAGAGTGTAGGAATACTCGGTTACAATAAAAGATCCTGCATTCAAAATGTTACTCAAGTAAAAGTACAAAAGTATTAGCATCAAAATATAGTTAAAGTACCACCTGCAGAGGGATCTAGATTCAGGTGTTCTTTTCCCCATAGAGACGCCTCGCTGCACATTATCCCTTGCATAAAGATAGAAGTGGGTCCCTTATAACATGCTGTACACAGTGGAAATAAACATTCTGGTCACCTCAACATCAGGGATCTTATACATTAAACTCCTTCTGAATCAAACCGTCACGGTAGCCTTACCTTACTGATCCCTCTTACAATAGAAGAAAAACACGTTACTTTACCAGCAGAGAGAAAATGGATTATTAAATTATTAATGTGACTAATAAAGAGCAGTTTGATTATTAAGTATTATTCTGTTGATCGATGTCATTACATTTGTTGAAAAGCACATAAGGACTTGTTTAAGACTCGTTTTGTCAAAGTTTAGGACTTGGACTTCACTTGAACTTTCCCATCCTGACTTGAGACTTGACTTGGACTTGAGCGCAAAGACTTGAGACTTGACTCGGACTTGAGCGCAAAGACTTGAGACTTGACTCGGACTTGAGCGCAAAGACTTGAGACTTGACTCGGACTTGAGCGCAAAGACTTGAGACTTGACTCGGACTTGCAAAACAATGACTTGGTCCCACCTCTGGTGTTTAGAGTTGTACCCCCTAGATCAGGTATCTAGTAATTGGGCGCTCAAAGTGCACCAGATTGAAGCATTTTACTTAAAAATGTTACAACATTGAAAAAGAAAATCTCCAACGAGGCGTTCTGGGGCAGCATAGACAGGTCTTTTCTGTGTTAGAGTTTTACTCCCTACCGGGTGTACTTTGAGGGTTTGTGACTCTGCAGACCGTTTACATGCAGAAAAACCTTCATAACACACAAGGGGACGGGTAATAACCGGAAAAGCATGACATGGGACCTTTAACATAGCTGTTTCAACAGTCACATTAAAACAGTTACTAAGTCAGCCTACTATCACCTTAAGATTATATCTAGGATTAAAAGAATAATGTCACAGCGGGATTTTTTAAAACTTGTCCATGCTTTTATCTTCAGTAGACTGGACTACTGTAATGGTGTCTTCACAGGTCTCATTAAAAAATCGATTAGAAAGCTGCAGCTTACTCAGAACGCTGCTGCTTGAGTCCTCACTGACACTAAGAAAGTGGATCACATCACTCCTGTTCTGAAGTCTTTACACTGGTTCCTCACTAACACTAAGAAAGTGGATCAGTCCTGTTCTGAAGTCCTTACACTGGCTTCCTGTCTGTCAAATAATTGATTTCAACATATTGCTGCTGGTTTATAAAGCATTTAATGGTTCAGGGCATAAATACATTTCTGATCTCCTGCTAAATTATGAACCATCCAGATCTCTCAAGTCTTCTGGGACTGGTCAGCTTTCTGTCCCCAGAGTCAGAACTAAACATGGAGAAGTTCAGTATTATGCTCCAAATATCTGGGACAAACTACCAGAAACCTGCAGGTCCGCTGCAACTCTTACTACTTTAAATCTAGATCTAGTTATCTACTAACAGTGACTTCCTTTTTCTCTGTACTACAACATGTTTAGATTTCTGTTCAGGTCATTTTTGCAAAAAAGCACATAATGAATTAGAGAATGCCTTGTTTGCATAATATAACATTTCAGACAATGTGTAATGGTTAATTGATGCTAAAGGTATGGTTAAAGCAATTGTGTGGAATGTTAAAATGTGAATTTTCCCCAAAAGTACATATTTCCTTCTTAGCATTTGTTCACAATAAAACATATATCAAAACATTCTCCACAGTTATCCAGCAAATAACAGAACATGGCAGCCGGTTCACTTTAGACTCTAGTGGACCATGTCCATGTGCTGAAAAACTATGGTCATTTATGCGATCTTTTTTGTTTAATAGCTGGCCTGGAACCAAACACCTACTGAGTGTGGGGGAGGGGCAGCCCCTGGTTAGAATGTTTCTGGGGACTGTCATGAGTTTGGGCCAGACAGAAGGAGCTTTTAACTGTTATGAGGAGGAAGACAACGCCTATAAATAGTTGTTTAAAAATAGGCTTAGGTTGTAGTTATGACAAGGAGCCTCAAGGAGGCATCGGCTAATGCAGCTTGATCAGCTTAAAGGCTGACAGGCATACACCTACTCTACGCTCATCTGCATACAAATACCCAACCAACACATTCTGAAGATGGACCCGGAGCAATGCATCCACGTGCTTTTAAATCAGCACAGATTCACCAACTTTGGTACAAGGCATTTTATCATGCAATTTGTGAATTCTGACATTCACTGGTGAGTTATTTAAAGTTGAAACACTTAAGCTGCTACTATGCATGACATCAGCTGATGCTTTGGCAAAAATAGTCATTTAAATAAGGGTGAATAATGTAGTCAGTTTCTAAGCAACAAACCCATACACACACACACACACACACACACACACACACACACACACACACACACACACACACACACACACACACACACACACACACACACACACACACACACACACACACACACACACACACACCTGCGTCATTTCCTAAACGCGAAGGGTCTGAGAGCATCCCGTTGAGCTCCCTCCTCCAGAGGCTCCGTCAGAGCGAGCGGACGGATTTATAGTTTGTTCTGTGGACGCAATGGACATGGAGAAGCTCATGTGCTGTTTTATGATTTTCAAGCATAAAGAGAGCCTTTCAAGGATTTTTATTCTGCCGGATTTTACAGATACACCGGACACTATTTGAATCGCAGAAGCTTGTGTTGTAATGGAATAGGAAGACAACAGAGAGAAATAACATGCATGCGGTTTACAGTGCTTGACCAATGCCAGCTTCGACAGAGAAAATGGTTTGTTTCGGTCTGAAACACCGCGTGCGGAGCACATCAGCGCTGTTACGCGCGTAGATCCCCGGTCACCTGTTGAAGTTTCTGGGTGCGCGCCGAACTGTTCCACGTTTTACTTCACAACTAGAGGATCGACTTGAACAGCGCGTTGACAGATGATCGACCCGCCCTCCCGTCTGTATGATGAACTGATTCCCCGCCATGCTGTAGGATGAGCTCTGATCTGGAGAGCGTTTCGCTCAACACACCGCTCTCCTCCACCGGCTCAGGCGGCCGGGCGCTCTCCGCGAACGTCCGGAGGCTCCACACCGCCCTGAACCTGCTGCTCAGCGGCCCGGAGAGAGAGCAGTTCATCCACTGCCTCAATGTGTACCACGCCAAGCGCAACGTCTTCGACCTGGTCCAAACTCTCAAAGTGATTCTCAACACGAGCAGCAAACGCCAGCTGCTGCCCATGCTGCGCCTGGTCATCCCGAGGTCTGACCAGCTGCTGTTCGACCAGTACACGTCCGAGGGACTCTATCTGAAGACGGAGCTTTCCTCCAGCAACGGCAGCGCGGAGGGCGACTCAACTCTGCAGAAATATGTCAGCTCCATCCAGGAGCAGCCCCCCCCCTCCGGCTGTTCGGACGAGCTGTCGGCTTCCCTGGCCGCGCCGCTATGCGAGGGTCCCTTTGGAGAGGTGCGCAAAGTCCTGCTGACACGCACCAGGAGCCACGAGGGTCTGGGCTTCAGTATCCGTGGGGGGTCGGAGCACGGCGTGGGCATCTACGTGTCCCTGGTGGAGCCGGGCTCGTCGGCCGATAGAGAAGGACTCAGGATCGGGGACCAGATAGTGACCGTGAACGACCTGATGTTCGACCGTGTGTCTCACGTAGAGGCGGTGCAGGTAGGGGGGCTGTGTTTGGATGTGTCAAAAATCATTGTGAACCTAACCATGAAGCTTGGTGGAAGGGGGGACCAGATAGCTTACATTTAGGAGCAGACCCAAATCACGCGAGACATCCGGACAATGGTCAACTTTGGTCAACATTGCAAGATAAAGCATTTGTGCTGCATTCAAGTTTTGTCAGTGTAATTGGAAGAATTACTTGCCCACTCAAGAACAAAACAGAACAGCTCAGCTTGATGTATACATCTCTGACCAATAAAGAGCACATGTTCTTTTTATGTTCAGTGGTGTAAAGACCCTAAGTAGGCCTACTCAAGTATAGGCCTATTGTACATAAGTAAAATGTTGAGATACTTGTACTTTACATGAGTATTTCCATGTTATGCTACTTCCTACTCCTACTCCACTACAGTTCAGAGGTAAATGGTGTACTTTTACTGCACTAGATGTATTTAATACCTTTAGTTACTTTACAGACTTTAGTAAATTCACAAGCTACCCTGCAGTATACAAAGTCATTCAAACTAGCTGCACCTTTACCAGCTTTGATAACACTTTAATGATCAATCATTATAAAACATCATTATATTATTCTGAAATGGACCAATCTGCACAATGAATACTTTTACTTTTGCTTTAAGTATATGTTGATGACAATACTTTTCTACTTTTACTTGAGTAACATATTGAATACAGGACTTTGACTTGTTACAGAGTATTTCTACACTCTGGTACTTCTAATTTTGCTCAAGTACAATATCTGAGTACTTCTTCTACCTCTGATTATGTTCACACAGCATTTGGCAGAATGAAGGGGGCATGCAGCAGCATCATTGGTGGAGGTCTCTGAATTCCTTCTAGTTACAGAGCATGTTGGTGAAAGGGTGCAGACTGTGTGGTGATCCAGATGTAAACACTGTATGCCTCAGGCAGAGAGAGCGTGCATTAAGCACTGGGCCTTGCTGCCCTAGAAACAGCCTCCTCTGCCGGCCTCCAGTCTAATACTTTGTTTTCATTCTTCTACTTGACTGCATGCTCTGTGAACGAGCATGGAATCAAATGTTCATTAGCAGATGGAGTTATGGTAATTTCCTCGTTGTAAAATAAAACTGTGGAGGAGAATTGGTCTAGGTCTAAGATATGGTCCCATTTTTGATCAACCAGGTTCTGTTCCCAGACCCGGTTCCCATGCTCTTTTAGATGGACATGTATTGGCCCTAGTTTTAGCAAATGTGTAACTGTTGACTCCCTGGTCATTGTACCGGCAGCCAGAATCAATGCAATGCTCTGCCCATTTATATGAGGTATTTTTGGAGCTAACTTGTGTGACTGTTTCTGCCATCGAAGTAAAAAAGTAATTTAGAAGAATACACATATCAGAAAGCCTCGTCAGTCGTCACATTGATAATATATGCCTCTGGTTCTTCTACTTGATGCAGATTACATAAGGGAGTGAAAGCATGTGGGAGGAAAAATACTTCAAATAGATAATGAAAAGGTCTGAAGGCAGCAAAGTTCGCCTGTTGTTGTCACCATGTTTAAAAATTCCCCTCATAATTGTCCAAGAAATTGTTTTATTTTCCGCAGGTATTTTGACTGCCTGCTGAGATTACTTTATGACGTTGCACGCTTCTCACTGAGTCAGACTCTAATAGACTCTCTTTACAACAATTTCCACTTTTTCTGGAGGCTGGTTACAGGTAGGTAGTTAGGTTTGGCTAGTTGTAAAGGATGCACTCAGGAGCTATCCCAGCTTAGCATGAAGACAGGAATAAGGGGGAAAACAGCTAGCCCAACTATTCAAAGCCCGATCATACCATCAGCTCTGAAACTCAGTGAGAACAGCTTTCATCTTGTGTGCTAAAACGTTTTCTTGGTGAATAGGCTAGTGCATTTCTGGAGGTTTGTCATCACAGTGAGGTTTGCACGTTTGGTACCACTTTAAAGGTAACAAATATTTGTTTAAACAATCAATATTTAAAAGGAACTTATCAACTCCATGTCTCAATTACGTCCTGTTGTGTCAAGCCTGTCAAAAGCGTTTACAGTACATTTTTTAAATAGGATACTGTGAACATGAAAAACAAAAAACTATAACATAAATATAATTAGCCCTGGCATAATGAACATCCTTCATTTGAAGTGAAAAAACAACAAGACATTCTTCTGAATAAGATAAATAAAAAATGCCTCTTTTAGAAAAAGCTTTTCACAAGCTAAAGGCCAGAAAGTCAGCTGCAGACACAGAGGACCTCATTTGTGATAATAAATACTTTTACAATTATGTAAGAACAGTGTTGTGGAGAGTTACTTATGGGAAATCAATGAGTTGACTTTCCCCGAACACAGGGTGTCTGACTTTCTTAAAAGTAACCCAGTATAATTGTTTCAAATAAATGGAGAGTTAAGTGGAGAGTTTTATGTTTGAGAGAAAATGTATACTTTGTGTTAAAGGAGAGGTGTCATGGCCATTTCCACTGATCATAATTCCATTGTTGAGGTCTACTAGAATAGATTTATACTGTGCAATTTTCCAAACTCACATTGGTTTCTCATACAGCATCTCTGTAAACTACGTGTATTCACTGAATTTCACTCTCTGCCTTTAACGGCTCGTTGTAGCTCCAAAAGCTCCAGCCCCCACCCTCCCTGTGAGCACAGTGTGCTCTGATTGGTCGGGACGTTGTGAATCGCGCTGAGCTCAGTGGAGGTGTTGTTTCCTTGTTTAGGATACATAGCGAAACACAGCCAAACTCATCCTGAGCACACACAAAGTCACAGCGTAAGTAAAAACAATAAGTGTGGCTTGATATTGAGTAAGAACAAGGTTGATAAACGCTGTGAGAATGGGTCTGCAGAGAGAATTTTGTCGCAATCCCAACTGTCTGTTATCAGCCTGCAGCCAGGGAGGAGAAATCAGCAGAGCTGCCTGTGTGTGAGGAAGTCCGTGGATTGGTCAATTTGGACCAATCAGCGGGGGCTTAACGTAACGGCTCCGCGGACGTAACGTGACGGCTCCACGGATTGGTCCATTTCGTTCCGGGTACGGGATTACATCATCCCGTACCCGGAAGAATCAAATGGACAATGACGTATCTCCAAAGAGGCGTTTTGGGGAGGTATTTTCTGTGTTAGAGTTTTACTCGCTACAGGGTGTACTTTGAGGGTTTTGACTCTGCACACCGTTTACATGCATAAAAACCTTCATAACACACAAGGGGACGGGTAATAACCGGAAAAGCATGACACCTCTCCTTTAATGTAAAGGCGGCTGTATGTTTAGATGCTGTGGTCTCAGTAAGCCAGATGCCAAATACACACAGCTTGAAACCACAATCCCAGCCTCGGTTTGCATCTGTCAAGTGTAGTGTCTGCTGGTGTCACAGTGCCGGGACCCACATGCAGAGAGTATTTCAGTGATTTAATGAAGGTAGAGGTCACAGGTGGAAAGAGGTCCAGCAGGCAGCCATCATGTAGGCAGGACACTGAGTGAATCTTTCTGACAGGGGAACAAAGGAGGTGGATTGCTATTTGTGGTGAGTCACTGGTAAGAGAAGTATAGGCATAAGGCAAAGATGTGAAGAGGAAGTCTGTTGAAAATGTCTGAGGACATCTGGTGGATGTGGAGGAAATACAATCAAAGATCTTAGGAAGGTGGGACTGTGCCTGGAAAGACAGGCAGAATGTAACAGTTTGACGTGGTGGAAAGTAAGTTGTGGAGTGTGGAGAATGAGTTGAGGAATGTCACAGCCTGAACAAAGCAGCTGGGGGGGGGGGGCTCTCACAGACATCTCTTCTCCCTGATGTCTCTGATGCTCTGTAGATGCGTACCAAAGATGTTCTTGGGGATTTAATGACATGCTCCAAAACTACTACTCCTTAGACCAGGGGTGTCAAACTCAAGGACCTCATTTTATACGGCCCGCAAGAGTTGCAAACAATATAATATACAATACAATTGGTGTAATTGTTGAATATTTGCTTTCCCTAGACTTCTGCTTTCAGATGTAGTTATTTATGAATTTATTACCAGAACTGATAATAATCCAATGCAGAGCCAATAATGTAATATAATACATTATTTCATATATAATATATATTTATACATGTATATTTATATAGTCTTAAAGTTAAAGCTGGCCCTTTGAGTGCAACCATAATGCTAATGTTGCCCGCAATGAAATTGAGTTTGACACCCCTGCCTTAGACGGAAATATTGTACATTTTTCTACATATATTTGGCAGCTTTAGTTCCTAGTTACTTTTAAAGGAGAGGTGTCATGCTTTTCCGGTTATTACCCGTCCCCTTGTGTGTTATGAAGGTTTTTATGCATGTAAACGGTGTGCAGAGCCAAAACCCTCAAAGTACACCCTGTAGCGAGTAAAACTCTAACACAGAAAATACCTCCCCAAAACGCCTCGTTGGAGATACGTCCATTTGATTCTTCCGGGTACGGCATGACATCATGCCGTACCCGGAACAAAATGGACCAATCCGGAAGAGCTTTGGCCATACCCAGCGGCGCTGAGCTGTTTGTCCTACCGACGGAAGAACCACGACGAAGTCAGTGGTTGAAATTTCTGTTTAACACTGTTCCTTCAGAGGTTCGAAGAACATTACTGTGTGCGCGGCATTTCACAGACAAAAGCTTCCAAAACATTGCCCAGTTTGAGGCCGGATATGCACAGCATTTGAAACTGAAGGACGATGCTATTCCTAGTTTGTTTGGACCGTTTGGAGCAGGGGAAGATTCGGGTACACAACCTGTAAGTTTGCATTGTTATTTGTGTATTTATCAAACAAGGTATCTACCACGACTGTTTAAATGTGTAAACATGTTTCGGACTGCCAAGCCATTGACACAGTGCTAACTGGGCTAACTAAGTTGCTAGCGTTTCCATATATCAACTCCAATATCAGCAGATGGCCTTACATACATGTATCTCATAGCAGGAGAATGTCTGCATTCACACACAAAATACTCATAGACAGTATA